GGTTTTAGTTAACTATAATAACCCTGTTTCTGACACTGGGAACTGGTCTCCTTCCCATTCACAGTTAACGATGTAGGGTACCAGAGAAAGAACCTGTTTATACAAATTATATTTCCAGCTATTTATCACATTTCTCTTATTTATTTGTTGAACACAACCTGCCTTTGATGACCTAACTGGGTTGTACCTTCGAGTCCCACAACAAGAGCATCATTGAGCAGCTGTAGACTCATTTTGTCAATGGAGAACTTCAGAGTGACGACCACAGTCTCATCCACTCCTATCAAGTGCATCTGTCTTTAATTTATTTCCATACATGTTGTTTTGTAAATCGTCGTCTAAAACAATGTTTTTTTTCCCAAACTGGGTCTGGAAACCCTCTGCTAATCACAAAACAGTAAGTGAGAGACTCTGAAATGATCTCCAGAAATCAAACAGCTCCTGTTATCATAAGTTCACTATATTATTTGCAGAAGCAAAAATGTTTGAAATAAAAAAAACAAATAGAATAATAAGGGTAAATGCTTAGGTTCAAACTAATATATCTGGGGTTACAAGTGTTTACTTGTTTTATTGGGAGTTTCAAGGGTCATATTGTGCATATTATGCCTTAAATGTTGCAAAAATTGTAACAGAAACAAGCCTCACATTAAAGCAGGGGTGCATTTCTTCAGGCTCTCTGGACCTGCATTTTCCTCAGTCTCTGAGATCAGAAGTCTGTTCACCCAGGGGGACCTTGGAGAGGTGAAGAGGTCCGATCTCAGTCTGATCCGCTGCTGTTGCACAAACCCAGATTAGAGGAGTTGAGAGGAGTGTTACTGAGTTGTGGCATGTACCGCCTGCAGCTTGTATGCATGGTGCACCATGGAGAGAAGCCAGAGTAGGCCTGTTCAAGCCACAGGTATTAGCCTGTAGACAGGTAATGAAGTGATCAGCAAACTTTTCTCTTTTCAACAGAAAATAATCTTCAGATTTAAATGTTTGAAGCTGCTGTAATTGATCAAGTTTTTCTCACCAATATTTCCTTTTTAAAAGGTTGCCTCAAACATTGCTTTTAGCAATCATTAAAAAGTCAGTAATTTTCTGTTTACTTATAAACTAAAACTTTTAACTTTAACAGATTTTGGAGTATTTTGTTTGTTGATTTTTAAAATTATTGTTCACTTTCCCCCATCCATTCATCNAAGACAATGGACACTGTACTGAAAATAAATGACTTTATTTTATGTCAAACAGAAGATCGGCATGCTGAATCTTAATTGAGCGCACGTAAAACCAATGCCTTTCAAGAACAACCACCAGTAGCCTAAAATATAGGATTTTAGCCGCTACAGTAGCTAAGAGTAAAAAATAAATAAAAAGTCAAAATTCGTGGCACATTTAAAATTAAGCTGAATGTCTTAAATGTCAACTCATGTTGCAGCACTTTCATAATTAGTTCTGCTAAGCGCACCTGTAGGAAACCAGGTGACACCTGCTTCCAAGTCTGCATTAACACCACAAGTAAGCAGCGGGGTGAAGAATTAGGAGATAAGGACTTACACAAACACATCAGGGGCACAGTTTTGGATAATACGGATTAAGTCAGAGCTTTGCAGTGATATTAAAAATAATGTGGGTTTTTTTGTGTTTCCTTTTTTTAAGAAATGGAGTAAATATGGTGTAGTCAGAAACTCAGAAACCCTGCCAGAAATGCAGTAAGAGAAATTAAGCCAAAGCTAAAAAGCAAAAACAAAAATAAGACAGCATTTTAAAGACCAGTGAAGCATGGCAGAGGGAGCATCAGATATTATTTTAGAAAAAACATATAAGACTGAGGCGGGGGTTCTTTTTATCACTACATTATTCTTAAGTTTTGTATGTGTTTGTGGGGGGGTTGTTTCTGGTGGTGACATTTGGGGACAACTGGTGCATTTGGGGACAAAAGTCGAGTCCCCAATTGGTTTAAATGCCATTGGTGGGTTGGGAATTGAGTTTAGGTTAGTTTTAGGGCCAGGTAGGTACCTGTGAGGTTAGCCTTAGGGTTTGTGGTCAGGGTTAGGCTGTAGAAATGTAATGGAAGTCAATGGAATGTCCCCAAATGGATAGTTGTGCAAACGTGTGCGTGTGTAAGCAAAAATGGAACATTAAGGTGTTTTGAAAGGATCTAATCAAAACCCCACACAGTCTGATTAGGAATCTGATACCACATCAAGATGGCTGCACAAAAGAAAATGCCAACCAGTTTGAAGAAGGTAGAGACATTTTATATTTAAGAAATGACCAGTTAACTTCATGTGCTTAACATTTAAAGATGTACTGTAAGAATCGCTGCTTAAGGACTCTACAAACTTGTTTAGTGAGTGACTTAAAATGACTTCTTCAAAACGGAAAATGTTTGTTAATCAAAATAAAAACCATTAAAATCAAAAAATTGCCTAAATGGGAAATATCAAAAAAAGGCCACAAAAGCATCATCATTTAGAGGTTGTTGTACTCAGCAGCATGGAAAACGTAATACACACTTTTCTGTACTACGTAGAACTTATAATCTCATTGTCTTGGCTATCTTCTGCAGGATTGGTCAGTTCAAAGACTAAACTGGTAAAATCATTGAAACCAATAAATAAATAAATAAATAAATAAATAAATAAATGGACTGAAATGTGCCACCTCCCTTTATTCAAAGAAATTCCTTTCAAATGCTCCTAAAAAGAACAAATCAAGAGCCACAGAGTCATATTGATACAAAGGCATTTGATACATCAATTCTCCACTGTGATTCCCTGAGACAGAGAAAAGATCAAAGTTCTGTACCTGACAGTCCAACAGAATAATCAAATGTTACAACTTGGCCGTACGACCCCAGTATGAAACAATCCCTTTAGTATCCTGGTTTACACAGGCAGTCACAGCTTCTATTTAATACTTGATAAAATGATTGGCGAAAAAGAGCAAACATTAAAAATGATGGGAAATAAAGACAAAAACAAGGCTGATGGAGTGAATTCAACATTCAGCATCAAGAACAGCTGTTTCATCTAAAGCTTGAGTCATTAAAATGCACTTGACATACAAATACTTGTAATAAAACTTCAATCAGTAACATTTCAAGTAACTTGTACAATTCAGGCCAATTGACAGTTACGTTTCCAAACATAAAATTTCATCTTTGCAAGAATGCACTAAACACTGCCAAATTACAAAAAAAGAAGTAAATCTATTTTGGTGACTCAGAATCATATGTAAAGCTTGTTTCCTGCAGTATTTCAGCCTCTACAGTTTGGGGATAGGTCTGGCGGCGACAGCGATGCTCTCGATGGAGCACTCGTCGCTGCCGCGGCGAATTCGAAAGTAGCCATCCTCGCCCCAGCTGGTGCCCCAGCTGTTCTTGACGATCCAGAACTTCTCTCCAGTTTTATTGCAGCGGCCGTATCCCACCAGTAGCACCGCGTGGTTGGTCAGTTCAAAGGGATTAAAGGGGTCTCTGAGGCCCGTGTAGTGGTAGATGCCCCCCTTGTAGTGCATGAAGTCAGGATAGACCTGTAGGTGAACAAGGAAAAGTTATTTTCTATATCAAGTGAAAACAGAACACACTGTGGAATTGTTTATTGCTGCGACTTCATTGGCTAGTATTATTAGTATTATTAGACATGAATTAGTCCAGTTGGCTCTCTGTTTTTTTAGTTGAGTGCTGATTTTAAAAAGCGGAGTGTTGATTTTAAAAAGAGCTCTACTTTCACTCATCTGTGTTCTGTCACATTCAGTAATAGCTGGTTTTTAAACGGCAATATTGTCAATTCAATCAGAAGCAGCTGATGGGTACCGGCAGGCGAAGCGGCATGCGGCTCGGGTGGTCGCTG